TAAGGGTTTGAGAGGAAGAACGTGAAAGCTGTTGAAAAAGAGGAAAAACAACAGAACAAGGATTCAACCAGAAGTTATAGAGCAACCTTCAATCTAAGGTAAGGGTGAGATTCTGACTCTATAATTGGGTTCATGATAATTGGTACGTGGGATTAGATGTGAACGTGTTGTTTTATTCATGAATTGAATGTATATGTTGTTGTATAATGAGAATTGATGATTGAAATATGAATGATGATGTCCTGATGCTGTTTATTTGATGTAGAATTATAGGACAACTATAAGTGATGATTATCTATGACTAGATCAGGTTTTTAGGGCTTAAAGTATGGAACCCATAGTGAAAATGCAGAGAAAATCACAGAAATTATGCAGGATAGAGCAGTATGTGTCGACCTCAAATGCCATGTGTCGATACAAGAAGGTTTTGAGACTCAATATGAGTCGACACGAAGAGGTCTTGCATCGATACATGAGGACTTTTAGACTCAGGATGAGTCGATATGTAGGAGCATGTATCGATACATGCTGTGTGATAGACTCAGTATGAGTCGATACAAGAGAGGATGCGTTGACTCATGTTGCGAGTTCAGTGCAATACGTGTCGATCCAAGGAGTTATGCATCGACCCATGTTGTCTGGTTTTTGGCAGAATCGTTTAGAAAATGCTGTAACTTGAGTTTTCGGACTCCGTTTGAGGTGTCGTTCGAAGCGTTGAATAGCTAACACGATGAACTTTATTCTTAAGGACTAAAATGAAGACAGGAAGGATAACCATAGGATTTGAATTAGTTCCCGCGTTAATTGTTATGTTGATTTTTGTGAAGAGTGATGAGGACGAGATGTGTATAGATCGCTGTTTGGTTTGTAACAGTAGGATTAATGATAGTAACGATGTAATATTATAGAATAGTAGTATGTAGAGATTTGGTGATTTTAGAAGTAAGCATTAGTTGATTAACTAATTATAGGCAATATCTTGTATAGGCCTATGGCCAATGTTGTGAAATCGATGGGTTACTGTTGTATTTAATGTACGGCTGAATTGTTGATGAGATGATGTTAATGAGAGTTTGTTTTAATGAATTATGATGCATATATGATGTGTGATGATTTATGATGAATGATGTTGATGAAGAGATTTTGAGATGCTTTTGAGATGTAGGCCTTTGGCCAACCATGGTGTTGTATTGAGATGTTGTCAATTATGGTGTTATTATTACATTCATGATTGTGTCGCATACATTGCAGTTTGAGATGGAGCTTATGCTCGTTGAGATGGCCTGTATTGGAGAATATTGAGATGAAGGCTTATGCCTTGTTGATGCCTCTATTAATTGGAAATTTTTGAGATGGGAGTTCTGTTCCAATGGTACCACATGCATTTGCATAGTATTGAGTCGCATTATATGGTTGCATAAAGAAGTGTGTATTGATGTTGTGAATGTGTATTATTGTTGTGATTATTGTTGATTATGAGATGATAAGTGGTGATGTTATGCGATCTAATTTAATATATTAATTATTATACGCTTTATTATATTGTTAGATATCTCACCCCTTCTGTTTAAATGTTTCCCTTATGTTGGTAACATGCAGGTAATCGAGAGTGAAGGTTGTGTACCTTCAATAGTTCGAGTCGGTGTCATTGCTCTGATATGTAACACTCGGGGGGATGAACACTTGTTGCTTTTGATTGTTGATTATTCAATTGTTAAATTTTAAGTTTATTATTATTAAATTGTGTTGTTTCAAAGTTGCTGTAATGATGATAAAGATGTTATTAAGAATTCCGCTGCGTAGGTGTTGAATTGTTGAATTATTTAATTAAAGTTGTTATGTTGATGGTTCATCCGATGTTTTAAAGTGTTATATATCCACGATGAATGCAATGAATTTTATTGATGAATTTGTGGCATCCCGATTCGTTTGCGTGAATGATTTTATAACTCTGATTTATTTATATAATTGTCGGGTAGAATTAAGGTGTTACAGAAGCCATCAAAAGATCCCTAAACAAGGTTTTTTTTCAAAGTTCTTTTTGAAGTTAGCATATAAATACCTTAAGCAAAATATGTGCTCAAAACTTGGGTATTCCTCCTCAAACACTTGCACCAGACCTTATTGGAACAAAACATCAATTAGTTGAGTTAAAACAGTAGCTAAATACAAATTAAAGTTATTAAGATTATAATTTACCTTTTGATGAACCAGCTCCATGAGTCTTTTGTTTCATTCTCTACAACACCAAATGCAAGAGGCAAATATTTGTCATTTGGACCTTTTCCTACAACAATGAGCAGGATACCACACACTTGTGCTTCAAGTGACATCCATCTAAACCAATGAATAATCGACATGCTTTTGTTAATGCTTTCTTGACCCCGTCAAAATAAATATAACACCTCTCAAATCTTGGATTCAAACATGGACCTGAATAATTGGTATTGATTATGAAGGTATTTCCCGGGGATACCCTTCTTAACTCAGCACTATAAGACCACAACAAATTAAATTACTTGCTAGAATCACCTTCCACAATTTGTCTAGCTAACTGCCTTGCCTTGAAAGCTCTACAACCTGTGATTTCTCTGGCATACCCAAGCCTAACATCTGCTACCACCTCATTCAATTTCATCTTAGAGTTATTCTTCAACCCATTCACTATGACCTTAACAACCCACTCATCTTTAGCACTTTTGTTGAAGAATTGTCTTTCACACTTGTGCTTAGAATACAATGTCTTTATCCTAAGTAGTGGATGTTAGGACTCTACTACATAGGAAAATGTAGTTACATTTCTTCTTATTCTTACATACCATCCTACATCTATTAGCATCATTTTTTTCAAACCTCACATCCCTACCATTTAAAATTTTATGCTCTAGTATAACATATTTAAACCGCCTCAATGAACAAAACTCCATTCCAACTTTGAAAACAAAATCCTTACTAAAAGCATCTTCAAAATTGAACCTGATTACACATGGCCTTTCATCACCATTGTCATCATCAGCTCCTCTATCCAGTACATCAGTCATGTAGTCCTCCTCAATGACATATGCGTTGCCCATATATTCTGTGATAAACACGGTCTTCCCTGGTTCACTATTTGCAACATGTGGAGTTTTAACTTCACTATCAACATCTGCACAAATTCCTTCCTGAAACTCATCATCAAACTCATTCATCCCCTCTTCTTCACTATCATCAAAATGGACATTCCTCACAGATTCATCACTCGATTCACCATGGCAATCACTTATTTTTTTCCTTCTCTTCTTCATAGTATATCTCAATCTCACTTTTATTCCCGACAACATACACAACTAACTCATGAGCGTCACCATCATCTTTGAATGGTTTCAAATCTGCTTCAAGGGATCCTTCACCATGTTTCCACCATATCTTAACAGTCTTTTGGTCAAACTCAGAGTCAATACTTTTCACTAAGTCACAAGCTTCAAAGAAAGACCAATAATCTGGGTCTTGACTGCTAAACGCGTACACTTCTCCACCATCATATTTTATGTTAATGTCTTTTACAAAACAACCTTTTGTATATAAAACTAACTTAAATGTAGACATTTCCTGTAAAAATGTTGTGTTATACAATCTAATATTTATACTGACCAAATACGAATACAACTTCAAAATTGTTATCCTAAACTAATTAATGTTTCTTTATCTACCACTACCATTACAAAATTACAAGAAAAGCAATAAGAGAACATACCCCAGACCACTCAGATGAAAGTAGGGGACAAACACCACATGAATGTTCAGTTTGGGACAACAAACTGGAAGATTTGATGTTGGGACCACGCAAATCTTGCAGAGACGAAGTGTGAACTCATTTAGGGGTTCAGTCGATTAAAGAGAGGGACAAAATATGAACAAAGAGAATGAGTCAATTTGATTAAGTGCTAAAAGATAAAGTAACATTATCATCTCTCCACGCTGGCGAATCAATAAAAAGCAAGTCCACATTAGTAACTTAAGTTTGATACACATAAACCTCAAGAATCTAACGGTAAAGACCATTTGTGTGGACAAAATATTTTATAAAAATCATTGTTTGAAGAACATTTTTATAGGGACTAAAATTAAAGGATAACATATTTATAAAAATTAAAAACTTATTTAACATTTGATTTTATGTCATTAGAGATATTTTACTTCTAATTTATGAAGGGGTAGCGTAAGATTCACTTTTTTTAATGAGTCTGTCACTAAATAATTTATACTTATATTTGATAGTCATTTAATTGTATTTTAATAAAATATTTTGAGATTAAAAACATAAATTTTTTCTTTTTAAACACAATACAGTTCGAATATATATTTTTATTTTACAATTCATCACGTTTGATTTTTACTAATGTATTAACCTTAAATTATATAAATTTATTTATTTATTATTTTTTTGTATTAGATTAAATCAAAATTTTATTATAAATTTCTTATAATATAAAAATATGAATAAATATAAGGTTAAAAAATTATAGTTTTAATCTTTAAATTTTATCTTAGCGAAATTAGTCTGTTTATTTTAAATTTAAACAATTTTAATTTTTTTCTTCGATTTTTCATATAAAATTGATGAGATATTATTTTTTAATTTGTAATTTTTATCTGTAAAATTTTATTAAATCTATATACAATAATTTATCATGTTTCGTAAAAAGAATTCTCATTTAAAAAGTGGAGACATAGTTAATTTTAATTTTAAATGTAAAAGTATGAGATGAGATAATTGTTTTAATTTTTTTATAAAAATTAGTTAGTTAGAAAAAAAGAAGAGAAAATGATGATTATTATGGAAAACACAATTATTCCAGAATATTCTTTCATCAAAAAAATATTCTTAATTTAGAATGACCAATAATACATAAACTAAATTAATTAATTTATTCTCAATCCACCCCAACAATGGTGTAAGTGTAACTAACATAAATCTTAAAAAACTATAATTTCCGTAAATTATTCCAAAAAAAAAAAAAAAAACAAATAACAATCAAAATTGAAAAATATAAAATTGCGAGAAACTGCATTTATATGATTTTCGGTAACAACCAGCCAACGGTGCATCGATCGAATTTCATCCAACATTCAACGCATGCAATCATCGTTTCTACCATTCTTCACATTTTCTCTATACAATTCGTGTTCTTCAAGTCACGTAACCCTAAACCTAAATCCAATTCCGAACGAATAATTACATTGATTGATTAATCATCGAAGAGGATTCGAAGCTTTTGTTGATCGATAATGGCGGAAGGGGTGGAAGAAGCGTCTACCCCTACCATTCTTCCTGACTTGCTCAAAAACACGCCGTCCAATATTGCTAGATTGGAAGATGTGATTGAGCATTCTAAAGCGAGGCATAAGTATCTTGCGCAAACGAGTAGTCCTTCTGATGGCGGTGATGTTCGTTGGTACTTTTGTAAAACCTCTTTGGCACCTAATGGTATGCATGTATTATCCATCAATTCTTAACCTAATGTACTCTAGGTTTTGTTTTTTTGTTATATACTTTTACTTTTAACAATTCAGTTTTAAATTACTTCCTTAATGATTAATGATTAACCTCTCTTTTGCTCAACCGGGATCGGTCGAATCGAATCAATCGGGATCGGTCGTTTCATGAAACACGACACTGACGCCAACACGTCCACACGGGTGATGATTTTAAAAAACGTATAAATTAAATGTTATCACATGTGTCGGTGTCGGTTTTGGACTCAGGTGTCGGTGACACTTATTCTACAAGTTTCATTAGTCTATTATGTATTGATCTTATGTGAGATATTGAAATTTACTTAGATTTTTTTGTGTGCTTTTGAGTACCTATTGATCTTAAGAGAAGTTAATAAGAAAGATTTTGAGATTAACGATTGCTGATAGAAGCATGGTCATGAATAGAATATTATGGCAAAAGTTGATCTATGTAACTAACCCCACTTAGTAGGATAAGGCTTGGTGGTTGTTGTTGTTCTATACAGCTTACATGAGTAGTGTATGATATGTTTAAGAGTTGTGAGTTGTGACGAGGTAAAACAAACACGCGGGATCAAGCTAGCTAAGACCAAAGACTCGGATACCACTATTGAAAAAGCATGGGATTAGGCAGGCCCAACATGTTTTTAGTACTAAAGTGAACTTTGAAGTGAGATCTTCTTAAATGAGAGTAACACAAAAGTTAGGGATTACAAAATCTTAACGTGGTTTTTGCTCAATTAGAGATTGAACCGTGTTCCCTGGGGACTAAGTGTGATTGTTTTACAAAGAACGATAGTATATAAGTTTTTGTCTTGCCCGTGGGCATTAAGTTAGGGTTTGAACTACCTTATGCTTGGTTTGACTCTGGGTTATGTATTGTGAGAAACTTTATGCACCCTTCTTATGTACACATGAAAAACACACATATTTTGTTTTGTTCGGAAGTACACTTTCGGTCAAGTTATGTCATCTGAAAATACACATTTAGGGAGGGGAAGTTACTACACAAGCATGGTCTTGGATATAACATTATGGCGGAAGTTGATCCATGTAGCCGATCCCATTTAGTGGGATACAACTTTGATTGTTGTTGTAGGTCGGGGAAAATTTCCTTCCTCCTTCTGTATTAGTAGTAAATGGACTTATATTTGTATTGAGTTGATGAAGACATGTATGATTTAGGATCTTCATTAGATTTGCTAAAGCTGTTTATTTGTGATCCTCTCGGGACTAGTGGATCAGAGTAATTATGTTTTCTGGTTTTTGGTTTATGCATCAGCACCAAACTCTATTAAGTTCATCTTGAATGAGTTTTGCTATTATTCTGTTGCAGAGTTGGCGGCGTCGGTCCCAAGCACGGAGATAGTGGGGAAGAGTGGCTATTTTCGATTTGGCATGAGAGATTCTCTAGCAATTGAAGCATCTTTCTTGCAGGTTGTTTCATGAAATGTACACTAGGTTAAATTCTTGTACTTATCTTGATGTTAATCGTGGCTTTGGTGACCTTTAGATGGTGAGAATTTTTGTTCGTTTTTATTCAGAGAGAGGAAGAATTACTTTCTTGTTGGTGGAGAGAATATGCAGAGTGTAGTGAAGGACCGAAAGACCAACCAAGTTCCAGTAGCAAGTTAGATGAACATCAATTTTGTGAAACTGATGAAGAGAGAGTTGGCGTTCCTGTGAAGGGAGGACTGTACGAGGTACTTGTTTTATATTTTGTGTCATCTTTTCTCAGTAGTCTAACAATGTTAACCGCTAGCTTTCTGCCTTTTCTTAGCGCATTTAGCCTGAAGTTGTTTTCCATGTAATAGTTCATTCTTTAATTCTTCCACCTCTAGGCTGATTTGTAGCTGAAATTTTCGGGTGTTAAAAAGTCTGACCGCTGAGCTGAAAACAAATATCTGTTTTTAGATCATCTTCCCATAAGACAAACTTTTTTTCACATGTGAATCTTTGTTGCCTTTTCTATATGTTGCTAGTTAGATTTGATACAGGAACCTATCTAACAGCATTCATAGATTTTTCAACAACATAGGAAGATGAAATGTTTAGGCATTTATTTATTATTTGATCCATGCTAGCAACTCATTCTTTGATACACATTTTTTAACACTCTTTTATTGGTTAAATTCATATCGACCCCACCAAATCATGTGGGTCCCATATAAATTTGGTGGACTGATATGAATTTTAACAATTAATGAGAATGTGTTGAAAAGTGCTAGCAACACACTCTTTTATTGGTTAAAATTCATATGGAGCCCCCAAATCATGTGGGTCCCACATAAATTTTGTGGGACTCATGAACTTTAACCAATAAAAGAGAATGTGTTGTGAGCATAATTCTTATTTTTAAATATTACTATCTATTGCGTACACTTTTAAATTCTAAGGATATTTGAACTGTTGTGAACACATCAAATTTGAACATTTTCATAATTGAGGGAATGCTCATCATTACATTAAAAAAGAAATAAACTAGGAACTTCTTTCCAAGGATGTGATGCTCATCAATACAGGTAGATTTGATTAGAAGACATTGTTTCCCTGTTTATTGGAATGGAGAAAATCGACGTGTTCTAAGAGGCCATTGGTTTGCTCGTAAAGGGGGCCTCGACTGGTTACCAATTCGCGAAGATGTTGCTGAGCAACTAGAGATTGCTTATCGTAGTCAGGTATGTATAATTGTTCAAAGTACATTTTTTAATATAGAAATCATTGCTACAATTTTACAAATGTTTAGCTGTAAATACGATTCTGACATAAAATTCAAAATATAAATTAGTAGTATGATTCTTGCTCAGTTTCATCAAATTTCTCATAAAAGACGTTCCAGTAGATGTATCTAAAAATTTTACCATACCCTCTTCAGTGGTGTGCATCAAATTGCATTTCCAAAGAGCACTGTCCTTAGAATTTCACAAAACCATTCCTTTTTCCTCCCAATTTGGGTATTTATTTATGTTATTGAAAAAGCCAACGCTAACCGGAAGCAACTACGCATATGATTAGGTACTGTTATTTAGATGATAATTTTATCTCTGGGTCTCATGTATTAGTTTAGCATTTTAAATCCTCTTAGGGGGTTAGGTTAGGGAAGGGAAGAGAATAGCCAGTTTTCAATTTGCATTCATTTTTGCTTCAGAATGCAAAAAAATATTTTGACCGGTTTATATAGGTTTGGCACCGGCGAACATTTCAACTGTCAGGACTTTTTGCTGCTCGAGTTGATTTGCAAGGCTCCACCCAAGTAAGCGGATTATTTTGACAATGATGATATGTTTTTTCAAAATTTTATTTTATTGTTTTACGGAGAGATTGTTTTTCATTTTAATACCTGGTGTGCTATTGTCTATTGATGTTGAACATGCAGGGCCTGCATGCCCTTTTCACAGGAGAAGATGATACATGGGAAGCCTGGCTAAATGTTGATGCTTCTGGCTTTTCTAATTTAGTGAGTGTTAGTAGAAGTGGAATCAAACTAAGACGTGGTTATTCCCCATCAAATTCGCCAAAACCAACCCAGGTTTCTACTTCCCCCCTCTCATATTAGTGCTATATATGGGCAATAGATTCCAATTTTGCTTTGTAATTGTATCTTATATAATTCTTGTGACTATGAAAGCGTGTTTATACTATAAGAGTCTTGGTATAGTAATATCCCTCATACTCATATTTATCTTTTATTTTTTATACACATTTTATTATATAAAATTAGGAGCTGCATCATATTCAGCAATGATAACTATGGCGATACTGATACTGATCATATTTTTCTTTTATTTTTTAATATTCATTTTACTATGCTGATACTGGTCCAACTCAAACAAGAGTCCATTGAGAATTCCGTAATACTTGGTGAATGCGAGACTTCCTTGCTTAGTGTTGTTTTTCCATTCAGATGGTAAACTTGTTGAACATGGGAAAGACACTCTGTTTATAAGTGGGGGGCAGTTCTCTCAAAATTAGTCGGTCTCATAAGGTTTAGTATACGACCATTAGGGTTTAGCGGAGGCCATTTGATCTAGACTGTGGAGGCAGAGCTATCGTCTGTTGCCATCTAAAATAGAACAGAACAAAATAGAACAACAACCAAATGACAGGGTTTAAAATGCCTGCCTACACAATTATTTCAGAACATGTGGACCCCCAAAAAGGACAGATGTGGGTGATCTCGCCTGATAAGACTGGATGACATGGCAGCGTGTGAAATTTTAGGATCCAACCAATTTTGAGGCGGCGATCTTATTTGTGTGGTCGTCAGTCGTAGATTGGCGACATACGACAGTCAACACCTCCCAACAGTGTTGGACGGTGATCGTGGGGAAATGACTGACAATGGGCTATAACCAACATTGAAGATCCCAAGGGCTGCTATGAAGGCAGCAAAAAAAGGACTAAGGTTTTACACGGAAACAAGGCCACCAAGACTTAGAGCTTATGAGACAATGTGTAAAAATATAACTATTATTTAAAATATCTAGAGTACAGACACTACTACACTTATATAGACTACATTATACATAACAAGACAAATTTAATTATTAGTATAATTACTAAATATATGCCTATTTACAACATTAACAATGGGAATGGTCAAATTTTCTTGTTTCTTTTTATAGCATTATTAAATCTTTAAATCGTTTTCGTGGTAAATTAAATTTCATTTTGTTTGTGTTCATATCATAATGTATATAGTTGAATAAACGAAGCACTAATTCTTTCTTGAAGAA